GGCAACATGTTTGGCAGCTTCATCGCCAAGGTGTTCGATGTGAGGTATGCGTCAAGTAGCAAGCAGGATTCAGTATGCCCGGGCACCATCACCAAGACCTTGATGCAGCTCATGCGGGAGATGGTTGATGACACTGCAGCGCAGCCTGACAACCAGGCAGGGCATCGGTGGTTCCTGAAAGATAGCAGCTTTGGATGTAGCAGGCGGTGGGCCAAAATCCCCAGGCGCAGTGGCAAGAGTGTCTTGGAAAACCTGCGCGACACTGCATGCCACTGTGGCAAGGTGCTTGAATCTGAGTTGAACCCTCGCACTCGGATCCATCCCAGCCATGAGTTGTGGCAGAGGGGAGAATGGTTGGAATGCCAGAAATGCCGCAAGACCTCGGCAGAATGAAGGAAGGGTGCAAAGCTGGCTTGGCAATGCATGTGCTGTGAGCAGAGGTCAAGCGACCCTTCGATTTGCCCCGACCAGCTCTGACAGCTAAGGGGCGATGAACATGGTAGCTAGATGCCACCCAGGCCTGGCCGCTTTTGCCTGTTGGCGCGGCTTGAGAAGGCAGACGCAAAAGAGCCGAGAAAAAAAAAGAAGAAAAGGAAGAAGAGAAGAGAAAAGGGAAAGGAAAAAGGGAAGATGGGGACATAGACAAACCCTTGCTCGGCAAGGTAGAACAACATCAGTAGTAGGTCAGAGGCCGTCGTATCTAGAATGGAGGCGATCGCATCAAGGTGGGAGGCCATCGCAACTAGTTGCCAACTAGTTGGAGGCCAGCGCTAGTAGTTGGTTGTTGGCATGCGTAAGGATTCAAACGACAGACGGCGACAAGGCTGGCGGTCGTTGGAGGCCAACGAAACAAGGTTGGAGGCAAGATGCATTGGAGGGTCACTAGTACGTTGGAGGCCAGTGCTACAAGCTTACAAAACACAAAGTCAAACCCAAAACACAAGTGCATTAGCTCTTTGCGGAAAAGTAGGGTCACGGCCTGAATCACCACAGCCAGTCAGGTACATAGGCATGATCAGTCCCTGCTTCCCACTCTCATCCACAGCTTCATTGCACGTAGCAGGATGGAGTGCCATTTTACAGACCAAAAGGCCGCCTGTGACTCCAAGGGTTCCACACACCCACGGCTCCCAAAGGGAGGCATGCATCCTGCCCCAAAGGAGGCACCCATCCTGCCCGGAAAGGGGTTATGCGAGGCACATGTGCGCGCAAAAGGGGACAAATGAACGATGAGCGAGACAAGGCAGACGAAAGAGTGTACGGAGCTGCCCAATGAAAGGAGAGCAAAGGGACAGCCAATGAACCATACCTCATTAAAATATATCAAACCTGGGGCACCTGAACCTAGTTTGGTGAAAAAGCACGCGCGTATGTGTACAAGCTAAGGTCCGGGCAGAAGTGCGCGCAAGAGAAGAAAAGGGTGAGGACGACAGGACATGAACACAGAAAGGACATGAAAGAAAAGAAGGAAACAGTGTGTGCGGGGGCCAACGAAGAGGGAACCAAATGAAAGGGGAGGCCGAACCTCATGAAGACATCTGTTGCAAACGCCTGGTTTGTTTGTAAAACACGCCGCGCGCAAGAGAACGACGGGAAGGGAAAGAAGAAAGGCCGGGAAAAGGAAAAAAGAAACAGGATGAGACGAGAGAGGTTCCCCGCTATGACGGAAGCATCCAGGGACACCCGAGCAGGAAAGAAAGAGGAGAAAATCAGTAGGTTTGAGGCCATCGTATCTAGAATGGAGGCGATCGCCTCAAGGTTGGAGGCCCTCGTTGCCAGGTTGGAGGCCATCGCAGTGCGCAACAAGATGCACAAGGTCAAAAAATTGGGACACCACAGCCAGGCAGGTACACAGGCATGATCAGCCCCTGCTTCCCACGCTCATCCACAGCTTCATTGCGCGTAGTAGGGTGAGAGTGCCACACGCCCCTGCCACATTAAAGGCCGAAAGGACGCCTGTAACTCCAAGGGTTCCACACACACACACATGCTTTCCTTCCCCCAACAGCTTGCCATCCAATGGCGCAGGGACCATATGTCCTGACTCCACGAGACGTTGCGAGCAAGGCACGCTTGCGTGCTATTTCACATGAATGGGACACTTCTCCTTCCAGTCTAGAATTGTAAGGGCTCCGCCAACCCTTTTTTTAGGTGCAAAGCACTTGAAGCTCTGATCGATCTGCAGCTAACCAGCCAAAATGCCCAACGTTGCCTGGCACGTTGCTTTCGGGAGCCCATAAAACTAGTTGCCTGGCACGTGCCAGAAGCTCACTCCCAAGGCTCCCGGCAATCTTGATGGCCACGGAGCGGCTTGCTGCCCTGTAGACGGCCCAAAACGGGCTGGCGTCGCAGCGCAGGGGTTGGGGGCCAGCAAACGACACCATTTATTTCCACACCAAAAAGGGGCGCGTCGCAGCCAGCCAAAGTGCCGCCTGGTACGTTACAGACGGCAGCATGGCCACTCCCAGACAAGGCCGTAGGAGCAGCGCGGCTATAGGCCTGGGTGCAGGTGCGTGGGAACCCACATCATGGCCACAGACCGGCCTCCTCCCCTGTAGATTGCCCAAAACGGGCTGGCGTCGCAGCGCAGGGTTTGGTGTCTTGGTAGTAGCAGCCCAGGTGATGGCCACAGACCTGTCCTGCTACGTTGACAAAAGGGGCTGGAGGTGCTAGACCGCAAGGTCATTGGCCAGTGCAAGTCCGCATAGTAGCACAGGTCCTTGGCCATGGCTTCCCCGCCTAGGCATCGGCTAGGCCAGGGTCGGCGGATTTTCCAAAAGGTTCCCCCAATGCCAGGATTGTTCGGAATTTTCGACGCGAAAGCAAACAGACCCCAGCCACCAAAACAGACGAGGCGAGCGCAGGTCCAACCCCCAGACCCCCAGACTGCAAACGAGAACCCTTCGCTACGCATTCAGGAAGCGCAATATTCCATTTTTTGTGGGATGGCAGCAGGGAGTCTCAGAATAATACTGTATTCATTGTCTGTGTTGTTTTTTGAGTTTTTTCGTTTTATGTTTTGTTTGACAATTGAAAATTTTTCCGTTGGAATTGCTTGGGGCTTTGGTTTTGCCAACGGGGGGTAGCTACAGGTGATGATAGGCGATGCCACACGCGCGTTGTCTGAGGCATTTTGCACCTTTTTGCCGTGGACCGTGGACAACAGATTCCAGCCAGGAAAATATTCATTGTACTATTCGTGTTTAGGTTTGGTACAAAGACATGTAAAACATACTGCAATGTTCCATCTCTTTGTGCATGCCCCAGGGGTAATTTACACTTGTAGGACATAAAACGATAAGGGTAGAAGTGGGGGGGTCAATGTCCAGTCTTTTGGCAACATGGGACTTGTGATGGAGTCGGCTGCATCACCTCGCTGCGGCCAACTATAAAACAACTACCGCGTTGTTTTTCAAGCATGGTTGTCACCGCATTTTGCCGTGACAGGGGTTACTTTCATGCACTTTGCAAGTATTGCTGAACGGCTAAGCTGTAGAGTTCTATGTGCATGCTGATTTATAGGTATTCGGCATGCATATGTAAATATACAATAATATACATATATGAGAAATAGATAGATCGGTTCTAAACCAGGTTTGCAACTGTTATGTAATATACATATCCAAGTTTGGTGGGGATCGATCCAACTACTATGTTGCCAGGGAATCGTGACAAAACACGTTCGTTCAAAAAGTGTTCCCCAGCCCTCCGCCTGACGTGCACGTGTGCATCCAGGTTCACACCAGACCACCATACTCGAGCAAGAGTCAGATCACGAAATATCACGAACTATCCCACGTCAGCCAATCACCGAACATTCTTGCAACATGCACCGCCCCATTTTGCAACCAGTCACGATTGCTTTATACTCACGGCTGCAGTTTCCACCGCCCACCGCTGTCAGAATATACGTGATGGACAGCCGGTATTTACACCAGTGGCACCGCACATTTCCAATTCAGGGCCTGGCCTGCCATGCTACAGGATGCACTGAATCGGCTTGTCCCACACTGCACAGATGATCCAAAGAGGAACGTATCAGGTGGTGCCCATGAAGGGCAAAGGCCTTGGGGCCATAGCTACTACATTCATCAAGCAAGGCTCCGTCATTGTTGACAGTGATCCTGGGCTTCTTAGAGTGCCACGCTTGCAGGAGAGTTCAAGAATAAGAACCTTGTAGTTACAGTTCTGAGCCAGCAGCTCCAGTGATCTGATCTTTGGTGGCGCCAAAACTCATTTGAGTTTGTGACGTTTTTGTGAGGTGATGATACGAGAAATGCAGGTATTCGATCAGCAGCACTTAGACCTTGATAGAAGAAGTGAATGCTACTTTGGCCGCTTGTCTTTGAGGGTTTTGGTTTTCGGTGCGTCCCCATCGAGTAGGCGTCAGCAATGTCTACAAATATTCTTCAAACCTCACCTACCTTATTGGCACGGTTTGTTCCATGGTTGCTCAAGCGGAGCTGAGATTTACGGGCTACATACTTTCAACCGATGCTTGAAGAACAGCTTCTCCTTCTACCACAAGGCCTGCAAGAAGCCATAATGGGATTGCACGATCGAGCAGGAGAAGCAACCTCTCCAATAATCAGCAGATTAAGTTTGCACATATTGGGTGGTTTCAGGCAACTGTTGTTTTCTGCTCGTTGCAAGTCAAAAATTGTCAATTTTGCTCTACATTTTGTGCTGTGCATGAGTTCCATGCCGCAAAGGCATCCAAGTCGGTGGCTGGCATATTTTTTACCAATGCCATTGCGACGGAGGGTGATGATTTTGTTCTTTGCCACATGGTGGGGCGCTTCAATAGCAGTTGCCAGTAGAATGCAGTGTACGAATGGTGTGACAGAGAAGCCTCAGCTTCGGTACGTGCTGTTTGGGACATTGCTAAGGGCGAGGAGATTTGCATTTTCTACGGAAGCACTGGGGACCTTCTGAAGCCGCGTCGCGAGAGACAAGAGTTCCTGCGCTATTGGGGGTTTACATGTGCTTGCTCCTCATGTATGGATCCTCTATCGGATGAACGCCGAGCCAGGAAACGCTTCATTCTTGATGATTCAATATGTTTCACACATCGAAGACTTGTGCGATCACAGAATTACTCAACTCATGATCACATGCAAACTGCTCACAGCAATTGCGTGCAATTGGATTTGGAGTGACATGGATTTATCGATGCGATGGTCAGGTGTCTTTTTTGCCACGCCATTAAGTTTCGCTCATTCGCGGCGTCTCCCATCGTTTGCCTTTGTGCTCTTCGCGTGTTTCTCCTGAGCGAACTGTAAGTTCCTGTGAAGCTTTCCTTTGTGCCATACTTTCAACGGTGCCTTCCTGACTGTAAAGTGATGCAAAGTGTAATTTGCAATTGTTTGATATTGTTTGTTTTGTTTGCAGCCATCATCAGCCATCCATACTGACAGTATTTGAAGGTTCTTAGTTTTGTAGTTGCCTTGCATGCGCATCGATTCCGTATTTCGCAAGTCAGCGCACAATATACGGAAGCGTGTTGTGGGCACAAAGATGGCAGTCATCCACTGAAGGAAACGTACTTTAGGGTCGGTTGTGCAATTCTTTTGATGTTGGTTGTTTATGGAGTTGCCTCCCGTAATGCGATTGACAGCAAGCAACTTTCCCGAAGCAGCGTGAATGAAATTAGACCTGCGGAATTAAAGCCCTCGAACACTCAAAGTTCGGATTTCAGTTTTGGATCAGCATGTCCTGCAGCTGATAGGATTCTTGAGATCAAACGTGCGTTTGAAGACGAGAATGTCATTAAGATTCCTATCATACAGCGGTATGAACTGGCCAAGGAGCAGCTGCGGCTTTATCAGAAGGAGCTTAGTTGAAGCTAGGAACAGCTGAGTGGAACTGTTCGAACATGTTGTCACGAAAGGTAGCCCTTTAGGGGATACCTTGAGTTTGTCTTGCGAAGCAAGTGTTGGGACGTCCGGGTCTAATAATTGATCGCTCAATTCAGACCCCCCCCCCCCCGCCCCCTTGGAATTGATTTTTCAATACAGACCCCCCCCCCGTGTTTAGTAGGGTCCTAGGTCTGTCTACGCTATACGTGTGTAGCACCTGTTCTTGTACATATATCTATTCGTAGCTCTTCAGTCCGCTTTCGACATAATTCATTTGGCTCAAGACTCAGCAGCCCAATACTGCATTCACTGCCATAGAAAAGGTGTGCTTCGCCGCAGCTCACACACCGACCGCTTGTGTTTGACTGCTTGGTGTTTCGATCAGGTCCAGCTATTCCAACTGCCACTTCTGGGGGAACTTTTACCCCTCAAAGTGGTAGCGGAGCTTGTGTCTCCTGCTTCGCATTGGTCGATTTTGCCTTCGTGCCGAATCGTCCGATATTCCGGACAGGGGACAACCAAGTCAGTCACTTGTCAAACAAATAGACCATGGTCCAGATCTTTAACATAGATACGGACGAAGAGCATGACAGCGACCTATCTGACGTAACAGATCCAGAAGAAGCTTTTGCAGCTCAAGGTTCGCGTCATCGCCAACAGCATGGAAGGTCCTCGAGTTCGACATACCGGACGTACGAGGCACAACCATCAGCAGGTGTCAAGATGACGCCAAAGATTCCTCCGTCATTCGATGGACAGTCATCCTGGTTCGAGTTTGAAGATTTGATTGATGACTGGGTGAACATCACCACATTAAGCGCCGAAAAATTAGGCCCATCATTGAAGAACGCTCTGACCGGAAACGCCGAATACTACAAGAAAATGCTCGACAATGAACAGCTTCGTCATGAAAGAAACGGTATTACGTATTTCAAGGAGACGTTGCGCCCATACTTTGTCAAGGGAGCAAATCATGTTTTTCTTTGGCGTTTCATGCAGCTCTTCAGGACCTGGCGCGGAAACGGGGAATTTGTAAGCTGGATCGCTCGTTTTGAAGTCGCTAGCAAGAAAGTCATGGAAGCCTTCATGGGCTTATTAGATCTTTCGAGAACGCAGAAAGAATCCGTTCTGAACACATTGATGCTTTGAAACAAGCACATCGTGACACCTTTCCATTGTCTGACAACCTGATGTCACTTATTTTCTTAGTTCAGTCGGATCTTAACGAACAGCAAAGAGAAAGGTTTGTAGCCAGCATGGCCTTGCGTCAGATCAACATGAACAACTACACATACTTAGGTGTCAAAGGCTTATTCCTTGATCTCTTTTGCGGAACCGCCACAGGAACTGCCGATCCTTCGATCCGCAGGCAAAGAAGATCCACTTTCCTTGTCCTCGATGAAGGAGACTTGGAAGAAGAATCCGGATACTGGGTGATGGATCAAGAAACAGGCGAAGAAGGATTTGTGAGTTTGTTTTCAGAGTCCGAATTTTGGGTGTTAGCAGCCAAAGGAGGATACACCCGTAGAAGAATCCATGGTAGAAGATTCAGAAAACCATCCAAAGGCGGCAAAGGAAAAGGCCGCGGAAAAGGCAGAAGACCCGGCTTTGTCAGCCGTAGAGGCAAAGGTGCAGGGGCACATTATGCAGAGTACCCTGACAACTCAGGTTTCTATGGAAAAGGCAAGAAAGGAAAGAAAGGTGGAAAGAAAGGATTCAAGGGGAAAGATGCATTCAAAGGCAAAGGAAAAAGCAAGCAACAGAATCCCTTGCAACAATCCAATGTTGCAACCACCGAAGAGCCTTCAACAGCTCAACCATCCACTAATGCCGAAGAAACCTGGAGTGCACATGAAGCAAATTGGTCATGGGACTCATACGGATACCACACAGACCAGTACTATCCTGAAGATGTCTGGCAGGCAAATGAAGCCACTTGGCAACAATGGACATACTTTGCGGACGGACAGACGGACAGACCGCAAGATGAAGAGCACCAGAGCTCAGATCGAGAGCCTGACCAGATGAACCAGTCAGCAGATTTCCGGTATTACGGAACACATCCAGAAGAGATGACTGGTGTAGAACATGTTTCACAGCCGTATCACCTAAACCCTGCCGGTAGCAGTACAGACTACCGACATTCCGGTTGTTCTGAAGTGATTGATCCACGCTTCTGTTCTTCTTTTGTCAACTTTGACGATGGATTTCACCATGCCTTGCTTTCTGAATACATCGACTTGAGGTACAGCCCGACCTACGTGATCATTGACAGCGGCTGTACCAGAGCAATGGGTTCAAGGACCGCCATCATGCGTCTAGTGAAGGCATGTAAGAGACACTACAATGCATCTAAGATTGATTTCTCTTTTGAGCCTTCATCAAGTCGATTCTCATTTGCAAACGGTGAACAGTCCAATGTCCGAGAGAAGCTGGTAATCTACTTTCAGAACGACCAGTCACCCACAGGGTGGATCACAACAGCGATAGATATCTTAGACCAAGGCGACGTTCCAATCCTTTTCAGCGTTGAGCAGCTCAGGAACCTTCGCATGTCTATTGAGCATACTCCAGTCGGTGACTATCTGACTTGTCCTTTGTTCGGCCTGAAGCGATTTTCGCTGCCAGTGAGCACTTCGAACCATAATGTCCTAGACATCATGATGTTTGCCAGCTCAGTTCGTAAGCCGAACCATAGTTTTACTGCAATCAATCCTTCGTATGGAGCCTGTCCTGCCTGCAGCGGAAAGCACCGCAAGCACACATACAAAGATGGATGCAAGAAGGCAGAGACGTCCGAAGTGAAGGAAGACAAGTCAGCAGCCGATATTCCGGCTAAGAAGACAGATAAGCACATTGCAAGTGGAGATGCCAAAGTCGATCCGCCATCGAAGCTCATTTCGATGCCTCCACCGGCTAAGAAGGTGACACCTCCGACATACCGGAAGACCGAGAAGTCACCTGATTTTGGTACGCCATTTGAGCATTCGAAGATTCCAAGTTCAAGCTCAGGAGCCGAGAAGCCTGACGTACCTCCAGCAGAACCTGACATGCCGGTGAAGCCTGATCCTCACTCAGGAAGAATCCAAGGAAGACGTGAAACCAATACCAACAACAGTGCATCGAGAGAAGAAGGCTCCTAAGGTTTCAGTAACATTGCCGCTAGCATTGCAGAGAATCCATGAAAAGCTATCTCATCCAACTGAACTCTTGAAACTGCATTTGAAGCACTACCACATGTCCACTGAGCAGTTCAAGAAACGCACATCAGCTTTGAAGATTCCTGCTAAGATCTATGAAGAGTATGAAAAGGTAGTCAAGCAGTGTGACACATGTCAGAAGTCTAAGATTGCACCTTCAAGATCAAGAATTTCAGGTATGAGAAGTGAAACGTTTGGAGAACTCACCTTTGTTGATCATGGTGAACTTGCTATCAACGACAAGTCCAAACTTCTTTTCCTGATCATCTATGACGGTGCTACTTCTATGACCACTGCTTACGTATGTAACGGCAAGGCTGAAGCAGAAACGATTGGCCATCTTCTGGAGTACTTTGAGACATACCAGTTGGATCCTAAGTATCTTGTCGGTGTTCAAGGTTTCATGGGTACTGAACTTGAAGCTTTTTACAGCAGAAAGAATATCCGACCGATCACTTTAGGACCCGGTACTCCATGGCCAAATAGAGCAGAAGCAGCTGTTCGCATGTACAAAAAGCAGATCACCCTGATGCTTAAGGCCGTAACTGAGGACCCATCCAGATACGAGATCACATACCGTCAACTCCTCAGACAAGCATCACTTGCCAGGAACTCCATGGTTACTTTTGGTGGAGTATCTCCATTGGAGATGGCATTTGGACGGCGACCTGCAGATCTTTTGTACCCAGAGAACATGACACCAGAACAGCTTACAGCTTCACTTCCTTCTCCCGAGAAAAACATAGATGCCCTCAGAACACTTGCCATGAAGTCTTATCTAGAAGCAAAACAATCAGATGATCTGAGAAGAGACATTTCTGCAAGACTTCAACTGAGTGATGGTCCATTTTTCCCTGGTGATAAGATATACTACTGGACAGAAGGTAAATCCAAGGTAAAGTCTGATGGAACCCACAGTGGCAAATGGATCAAGGGCAAGGTCATTAGTTCTGACGGCAGTATGGTTGGTATCGATTTAGGCACCAGAATTTTGAAGGTCAACATCAGCAAGGTCCGTAAGGACATCAATCCGATCGAAGATGTTGAGGTGCCACTCGACCCGGTTGCACTTCTGAGTTCTGAGAGTGCACGGACCGATATTCCGGTCACTGACCACGCAAGCTCTCTAGTCCAGAGCGACGGAGCCCAGATCGGTGTGGAAGGCTTCACATATTCCTCTTATGCATGGCAACCCGTCATGACTGGCAAGATTGATTTCTTAGAACTGTTCGCAGGTTCAGCACGGTTAAGCCAAGTCGCTGCAATGAATGGTTTGCGTGTTGGACAACCTATTGATCTGAGAACCGGATTTGACATCTTGACCAGCGACGGACGTAAGAGAACGATGGACATCGTCGAGAAACAGAAGCCTAGAGTCATCTTTATGGCCCCGCACTGTGCTCCTTGGAGTCAGATGACCAATACGAGATCAGCGCAGGCAGAAGTTTCTTCCAATGTTGGAGTTTTGTTGTCGTGTTGCCATATTTCAGATTGAACACGGAGGCCATTTCATCATTGAGAATCCTGCCTCATCAGCTCTTTGGTACACCAGATGTTTCCAACGTCTTTTGTCACAACGTGGTGTTACCTATGGCACTCTTGATATGTGTTCATTTGGAATGAAAGACCCTAACGGCTATTACTACAACAAGCCAACTTCTCTTTTACACAATTTTGATGAAGGAGTTCTAGCGCCTGTGTTCAAGAGATGTAGTAATAAGCTCGGGGGTGAACAACACCAACATCAACCATTGGAAGGCTCAGCACCTGGCT